TTAGTAGATTTTTAGAGCCTCCATCAATTAATTTGGTACTATTATTGGCAAAATCAAATTTATATGGCACCATTTTTTTTTCAAATTCTGCCTATTAATCGGGTGTATAAGTTAAAATTACATTTTATTCGGTTTACGGGAGTATTGAATCGTTGCGTCTCACGAGAACACTTGGATTATACGAGTTTTTTGTTTAAGATTTTTAATGTTTAAATGAGCAAATTTTTGATGAATTTGGATGTTTATCATGAGTTGTCTAACGTCCCGGCTAGTAGTTACACCTACTGATTACTATATTTTTATGAATCACTCGTATGTATATAAAAAAACGATAACTATTTTTTTAAATAAATATAGTAATGTGAATATACTCAATATAGGAATACAAGTTTTTAAAAACTTAATACTAAAACAATTATCGAATATTTCTATAAAAAGCAAATTTTATAATTAAGTTCCTTTATGGTTTCATCATATTTTAAATTATATAATATCGTCTATTATTTAACGAGGAACAAAATTATTAACTGTAAGGTTATTTATTGTTATGGTTTCTTTTTTTTTATATTTGAAGATGATACTTTATCTGCAAAAAATATTATTTTTAGTTGATATATATTTGTAAATATAAATTTAATTATAATCATATAATAATGTTTAAACGATTTCAATGTTGATATTTAATATTATTGATCAATTTTAAACTTGCCATTAAGTTATTTTTATTAATATTTTATAAAATGTATTTAGTACAATAATGTCGTTTTATACACAAGTTTATTCTCTTTATTATGTATTATTAATTTGGTACTGAGTAGCAAGTTATACACTTATACCCAATACAATTTTAAAAAATACGACTTCTAAAAGTAACCAATAATTAAAAATAGTTTTAAATATTGGTACTTCAAGTGTTTTGTTTTATTTTTTAGACTATTGAAGACGAGATAAGTGCAATTAATGAAAAACTAAATAAAGCTATTAAACATGGTAAAGAAATTATCGAAAAGACTAAAGATGAAGAAGAAAAAGAAATGATTCCAAAAACGATAGAATCGTTAGTAGGAAAAATGAGCCAAGTGAAACTCTGGTTGGACGAAAAACGTAATCAAGTAAGTTAAAACATACATTGAAATCATTAATTATTAAGTACTGTAGGCATTAGATACATATTATGAAATAAATTAACTACAGAGAGGAAAAACTATTACACTGTACATTATGTGTTTCCCAATTTTTTTTACTAAAATGTTTTATATTATACTTTTCCAAAGCTTATATTTTATGTATCTACCTACAATCCATATAAACTTAAATGAAATTATAATAGGTACCTTTAATCTAAATTTACTTTAAATTCAACTGCAATCAGAAATAAATAAAATAAATAATGATAATATAGGTAATAATAATAATAACATTTTATGCATCATGATAATAATATAGGTACTATAAATAAAAAAATAAAAAAATTAGATTTAGATGATTAAATGCATAATAGTCAATATAAATATGTATCCCTATCTATAGTTATTTCTTAAATATAATATCCATATTTTTAACTTAAAAAAAAATAGCTCTATAGTAATGTTTTGCGTATTATGAAACTCTTTGATCTGTTAAATTGTCAATTTTTTTTTAGATTGGTGACACTTTGGATGCCTGGCAAAAATTCTTATCTGTTTATGACTTGGTGATGGCCTGGTGCCAGAGTAAGACTAATTACTTAGAAGAACCAATAACTCTAAGTTCACTTGAAGTAGTAAAACAAAAAGCTCATGAATTTTCGGTATTAAAGCAGTTTATATATTGTTGTGTAGGTACTGAATATCAATTGTATGATTTATTGTAATATTTTAACAGGCTGCTGTGAAATCAAGCAAACAACAGAGCAAACATCTAGCTGAAATGAGCAAAGAATTGGATATCATCGCATTGTCTACAGATGTTGGACAATTGCCTGAAAAACTAGAAGAAGCTAATAATGCTAAAAATGAAGTAGAAGGAAAACTCTCAGAAAAGGTAATCAAATTTAAATTAGTTATATAAAATTATGATTTAATTAAAATGTACAAAATATAATTGTATAGAATGCTCTATTGCACGAGACATGTGAAGAATGGGAGCAATTTGAAAGAAAATTAAAAGATGTTAAATCATTTATCGAAAAGTCTCAAAATGCTATTGAATCAGCTGCTAACAAAAAAAGAACACTACGTGAACAACATGATCTGAGGGAAAAGATGTTGGCTGATATTACAATACAAAGAAACAAGATTACGCTGTCAACTGAAAAATTGCAGGTTAGACACTAATATATTATAATATATGGAACATAACTCAAATTATTTTATACTGTTTGTTTGTATTAAGTTATTTAACCATTACCTACGTATAAATTAATAATATAATGAAATTAAAAATGTAATTTACAATGCTTCATTTATTTAACGTTTTCTTAAAATAATAAAACAATAGGTTAAATAATTAAAATTTTTCTGTGCCCATTTTTAAACTAGATGCAAATATTGATGTGGATTTTTCATTAAAAATGTACGATTGTAAATTGAAAGTACCTATAGTGCAGTCACTGAGGTTGCCTTACTTTAATTATTCAAGAAACCCTAAAAAAAAAATCGTTCTTATGTCTCCTCCACTCCCATGATTAAAATGAAAACATATAGATTACAAATGATTTAATATTTAGTACTTTAATATATTTATGTTTAAATTTTAGTGACAAAAGAAATATAATTGATGTAACTATATAATTAATAAATACAAAATAACTTTGGTAGTTCCTAATAATTTTCATTGAGAAAAAATTGTTAACGTTATAGCTAATCATAACCACAAAAATGGTCTAAAAATAAGTATAAATATACAATATAATAAATAATAATAATTGTAATACATGTAATAAAATACATACTTGCAGTTTGGGAACTGCCAGTAGTTTTTTTTTTCAATTCAATTAAGTTCAATTTATTGTATAAACAGATTTGGTTTGTCTAAAATAAATTTACATAATATAATATTGAAAAATAATTTATACTTATAACAAATAATTATTGAAAAATTATATCTATCTACATATTAACATAGTTGGTCAAATTATTTTAACTGGTTTCAAGTAAACAAGTTCCTATGGTTACACTAAAATATTGTATCTAGATACAAGGTAGGTAGTATAATATGTAATACTTACATTAGAAATTAATTGTAACTTGTTGCAAGTTAGGGTTACTAAGTTACATTTAAAGTTTCAATTTATCTAACTATTTATGTTTGTTTCTTCAAAAAAAAAAAAATAGTCTGCCTGTGAAAAATATACTATGAAAGTTATAGATAACTAAAATTTAAAAGTTTAAATATTAAAATGCATTTATGAAATTTTTCAAAATATAATATCTTAAAATATGTAGAGTTAGATCATAATATTATTTAATTCTAATTATCTTTTATTGTTTGATTATAATAATTTAACTATTTAACAGGTTATGTTGTATTGTTGCATTTTAATCTATATGTATAGACATATATATAGGTATTAAGCATGTATAAATACTAAGGACAATTTAAATTGATTTAATGATAATTTTTGAGTGAACACTCATGACGATTTTTACTTGATTATAATCACTTAAAATTTAACAACAGTTAAATCATATTATTATTTTCAAATCAATCATGCCTCAATGCATTGAGATCACGGACTAAGATTAATATTAGGCCTTGATGACAATAAATCATATATATAATAATCTACATTTCTTGGTAACGATGATTAATACATTCTAAAATAAATGTATCTTGTTTTTTTCCTATTTTAGTATTAAATAATTTAGTATAATAATTGTTGTAACTTCATAAAGTACAAAAATAAAATATACATATTAAATAATTTCTCATCCAAAATTAGGCTTGTGAAATTAAATTGTAAATATTTTCGAGATAAAATATTATTCTATATATTTCTTAATAATTATGTTTTAAATCAATATTGAATTTTAGATTCATTTTCGAGCTGGATTTGGAGGCAGTGAAAACATTGAACATTTATCTAAAGACAGTTTGTCTCAATTGGATAAATTGTTCAAAATTGTCGAAGAGCAAGCACATAATTTGGAAGAAAGTCTTTCACAGCTCGACAAATATCAACAAGTAATTATATTATTTTATATTTATAAAAAAATTAGGTACTATTAATATTATTATAATATTAAAGTCGATTTAATTTTATAATTTAGGAAATACAACATCTTCGTCAAAAAGTCATCACTGCTGAGCAACAATTAAGACTGACGCAAAGTCCAACGTATTTACCTCACGATAGACAAAAGGCTGTGCAAGAACAAAATGTAAGTACTCTAATGAATTTAAATTTCAAAAGTTGTTATTATTATTGTTGAAAATAAAACAACAGAGAGAGAGTATTTTTATGTGTTACATAAATATATTAAACTAGTCATGTTGTAAAGTAATACGATTGCAAACATATGTGTAAAGAATCGTTTTAGTTTATTTTTAACATTATAAATGATATTTGGTAAGAAGGGATTAGATTCAGCTAGAGAGAATTTATTTTATTGCTCACATGAGTTATTTATTTAGTAAAGACCGAATAGAGTCTAAAGTCTAAACGTAAAATTTAAAATCAATTAAGTGTAAGCTGCAGTTAGAATGTACTAAGATTAATTATAATAATTTGTAAGACATTTTGGATATTATAAAAATTAAAAAATGCTCTTCTGAATGAAAACATTAAAAAAACCGTTCCATTGATTGGAACATTGCAGGCATTCCAAGAACAAATACGAGTGCTGCAAAGCAAGATTAACTCAAGAACCGAACGAATCAAACTGATCATTCAACGAGGCTCCCCGATATCCGACCCATTACTAAACTAATTAGACATTTAAATGCATTTATATTTATATACCTTCGTACTCATTCCAAATTTCTATTTAAGCTATTAAAAAAAAAAAATTTCAAAATAAAAATTAGTTTCTAAAGGCATTTATTCGGTCACGCAGGACGTTCGAAACGCACTGGAATCATATCGGCAACGTTTGGATTGTACAATGAATGCTGTGCGAACGCATATCGAACATTTTATCGATTCCAATCCTTTGCTGGAATCCACGTCATGTACAGATCCCGTAAATAATCTTAAAAATCCACTGAAACCAATAAGCCGCAATATTATTAAAACTCCCCAAATAGTGTTGAATTTAACCGAAACCGAAAGGCACCAAACACGCATTAGATCACGGTCCCCTTCGCCGTTTTGGATAAAAGGCGAGACGTCCACATACTCGGAAGTTCTCAAAACCGGTTGCGTATTGTCGAGGAATAACAGTAGAAGCGTGACTCCAGAATCGAAAAGTGTCAATGTCGAGGGTGGAACACGCATGAGTAGAAAGTCGAGTTTTGACAATCTACTCCGAACTCCACCGTCGACGAGAGCCAGGAGTAAATCACCAAAGGACAGATGGCAACCAAATGACTTTAAAAAAAACACGACTTTACGCGGATCACCGCTGCAGAAGTCATCGACGTCTGCAGCATCCGTTGAAGATGGCCAATCGAAGGTAGACGACTCGGACCGTGTTACTCTCGCGCCTCCAACTCCCAGACACGTTAAACGACGATCTCGGTCCAGGAGGAATCGAAACGCAACCAAAAAAGACAACGGAAACAAACCAGTCGGAGGTTCTGAATCTGAAATGAACACCGAAGAAGCTACAGTTTCACCAGAAAGATGCGCAGTGAACACCACCATTTCGTCGTCGACAGAGAAACCGGAAATCATAGTGTCGGACGTGAAAACTAGATGGAACAGCGGAGATAACCTCCAACCTCGGAACCTGGCCGAGCAAATATCCGGGACGTACGACCCGGTGACTCGGGATGGTGAATGGAAACTATTGACCGTCGACGACTCTTCTGAGGCAGCCATACCGTTGAACGCGGCGTCGGTCATCGGTGACTTTTCGAAATCTCGACTGTCGTTGGACGGTATGCTTAACAGTGCCAGATGCTCAGACAGCTGTTTTGATCTGAACGAAAGGTTGAAGGGGATATTCGGTTCGGTCGACCAGAAACACTACAGGCACCACCGTGTCGTTGATCGTCCGCGATCCAAATCCGATACTCGTGATCTGAACGAACTCACGCAGATATTTACTAGCCCCAATACTGATGACAATAATAAGTACACGTGCCGTTTCGAACGTAGTGCCGGATCGGTAAAAAACTATACCAATAGGGACTCCACTTCCAGTAGACGTTCTTTTGATAATAATATTATCTTATCCCCTTTTGGAAACACGCAAATGCAACGGCGGTCAGACGGAACTACTGACAACGAACACGACGAGTCTGTAAGGTTACCTACCTGAGTGTTGAATTTTGTGCCGATCTTAAAATTGTTTTCGTTTGGATTTTTTAATATATTTGTGTGATAGTTTGGATTAATAATCTCGTATTTAACTGTTCACCAATTTTTTACGCATATAAAAGAAATCAATTTTTGGTATTTGAATTAATATTATTATGGGTATGATGACGGGATGAGTCCCGGATTTAAATCCGATTTTGCATATTGCTGTGTTATTGGATAGACTATACATGGGTAGGTACCTATTTTATTAATCTTTTATTTTCTGATTTTATTTTAAAGCTTGTAATAAACACATTTTTGGACCAATTTGTGTGATCACAAATATCTACAATTATCAATTTCTACATAATAATATTTAAATGTATCAAATTTAAAAATATAACAAATATTTTAAAACAGCTATTGATATTTGTTTTTAAAAACACAGCGGCAGGTCACGTATTGTTAATACTAACAGACATGTTTGTGATTGTAATAATAGTAACTTCTGTCCACTGAGTACAGATCCAATAATTTTGAATACATTTTAATAATGGTTTTTGTGAATTTTATTGTTATTTGTGGCTATAATATTTGTTGCATAATATAACAACTAATATTATACGATCAGTGAATTATTCATTAATAAAAAATGAATACTTTAATATAATAATCTAAATTATTTGAAATTTGTATTATTTTCAGACTATCAAATCACATTTACAAGCACTAAGCGATGAGAGTATACCATTAGAATTAGCAATGAAACCATTTGTGGCATTTGATGAAGGACAGACTGCAATAAATGAATTAACTTCAACACAAACTATGATTACTTCATTAATTACTGATGATGGTGATCAATCACAAACTACGGCAATTAAAGAACTGAAAACATATATCGAACAATATGAACAAATTTTAGTAGAATTAGGAATTAATGAAGATAAATACGTAAGTATAAATGGGTATACTATAGTTACTTACTCTAATATCAAATAATATTCAATACTGTATAGTGTATACTATAATTAAAGAAATAAATACTAAATAATTTATTTATATGTTTTCTATAGGAGACACATGATTTAAGTGCCAAAATAATAAAAATAAAAGAAATAATAACTAGATATGAAATGTATGAAGAAATAGAATTATTTCAACTATTTATTATTCGGCTTAGAAATGTCGTCGAAAAACTTGAGAATCTAGTAATGAACAAAAATAAAATGGCCATTCAGGTAAATCAAATAATTTTAAGTAGGATTGTATAGTAAACATTAAGTTGCCTCTCTAAACCTATTATTTAAAGTCCAAAATTAAGGCAAAATCGTCTTAGCCGCCCGGGATCTATGTGTTAGTTGTACATGATTATTAGTGTGAGTGAAATTCAATGCGGATACCATTGTTAATAACTCGATGACTATAACAAATTCAATACGAATTTTACGACAAATTACTTAGTGTTTTGACAAAATTAAAGTTAGTTAACGTTGTCTGATTTTAATTCGGAAAAAAGTATTTGAAATCACCAGAAAAATGTCTCTAAATTGCAAATAACACTTTTCGTTTTTAATTTAAATTATGATTTGAAAAATATCATATTTTCAAGTTTTCAATTACAGTTCACAATAATATAAGCTTTGATTTTTATAAAGTATTTCGTATGATCAACAGACAATTTTTTTGTCGAGCTCAAATTTTTTTTCAGAATAAAAATCGGACTACTTGAAGTTATTTAAAATCTGTCGGAAATAAAGGTTTTTTTTGTGCTAAAATGTATGGGTAGATTTACCCAAAGTCCCCTTAAGGTAGAATATTTGAAAATAAAATGAATTGTTTGTGTTACAAGCATTATAAATTTTTATACACAAAACATAGGTATGTTTAAAACATATTGATTAATATTTTCATCAAGCGAAATCACTCATAACTTATACTTAACTATTATTTTTTTAGAACAAAATAAAAGATGCTGATGATATAATATGTTACTATGAAGACTGGTTATTAACAACTGAAAATGATGGCCCAAAATATGTGGTAATTATATTTTTTAAGCTACCTAGTAGATATAATTTTGATTGATCTTTAATTAATGGTTTATTATGTCAGGATAATATTGAAGGAAAAATAGTTGAATTGACAAATAAACTCCATCAATTACAAACCCATGAGGAAAATGTTGAATATGAGACACGTATTTTAAAGCTGCAGTGTATAATTGAAAAACTTGAAAATATTAAAGATAACTTCACAAAATTGAATCAAAAGGTATGTTTTTATACTTATTTGATATACTTATACATTTGAAAAGTTAACAAGTATAAATGAGTAAATGTGATTTTTAGTCAGTAGATTTTGCATAAAACAGAATTTAAGACTGTAGAATTGAATTTAATTAATATCACAGTTTTTGAAAATGCATGGTATTCTTTAGTTAGTGTATACCTATAGATATACTTAATAGATTATATTAAACATATTAATACATTTTAAATCAGTCGAGTTACTATTTGTTTTACCAATGATGTTGAATACTGCAGTTTAATCATAAAATAATATCCACAGTTATTAAAATATTCAGTTTAATATGAATGAAATGTCCACCATTATTCAAAGATCATAATGTTTATAATGTTAAATTTTAATAAAGGTTTTATCTATCTTAAAAGAACAAATATTTTAAGCTGTTATAAAGCAAAAATTAGTATAAACAAATTATAGAAACAAAATAAATCTAATAGGATTAAAAAAAAAACACAAAATAACATTTACAAAATAAAATATAAACATCTGTTTAAATGTTATATACTTTTGAGTAGCTACCTACTTGATTCTGTAAGTTTAGGTTTAATATGCTTTAAATAAATATATTAAGTAAACTAGAGAAGCGACATCATAGGATATTTGTACAAAATTGTATTGTATACATGAGGAATACTCTTACTGTGTATAGTAAAAATTAAATTATCAATCTTCACCATCGGATGATGTTGATATCTGTTTCCAACAAAATATATTTCATAGGTAATTTTATCGTTCTCATTTTTGTGTAATGAAAATTACATTCTCGATTCTTTTTCAATACTAAATTTAGTAACAAAATGTTAATTTTAATTATGGTTATACCCCCCTTCATGTTATGAAGGTAATAAATATTGTTAAGATCATACATTTAAAAAATTTTAATTCAATATGGACGTAATTTTATGATAACAATTAAACAAAAATGTGTATTCAATGTAATATTAATGAATCATTTTAATGGGTCCATTACATTTTAAACACTGAAATTAAAAAGTCTAAATATTTATGTAGATCAAAAATGCTTTATTTTCAGGACACAAAATACAATGTTGAAAGCACGGTTATATCAACTGAATTATCTTGCATGAATTCACCTGAGAATTTACATAATACTAGTGTAGAAAGCATGACGATTCCAAAATTAAATTATTCATTAAATCACCCAAACCTAGAAACACAGCCACAAGAAAAATATTACGTAACTGCCCCGAGTGTAATAAAAAACATTGAAAGAGAGAATGAGGTAAACACAATAAATTTGCTAAAAGATAGTGAAGTTTTGAGAAGTCCAAAGTTAGTGAGGAAAATAAATCAAGCATTACGTGATGAGCATAACTTTGAAAAAACTGAAACAAATGTTGATAACAAGAAAGTATTAGGCTCTCTAGAACAAACTGAACTAGACACAAGTAATCGTTTTGAAATTGAAAAAACATTAGAGAAAAAGAAATCTATAGATATAAACACGCAATCTCAATCCAAAAAAGCGGACTCACCAGAAAAAAAAGACGATAAAAAATCTAAAAGTTTTCTTCGTTTTAAAATGCCAAATGTGTTTATAAAAAAATCAAAACAAGGTGAAATTGATAATGAAAGTTCATTAAGCAATCAACCAGAACAAAGTGTAGACATTGAAAATGATAATGTCAAACTACTAATGTATAAAAGGATGAGTAGTATAAGTAATGATGCCAATATTCTACAAAAAAATGAAAACCAACTGAATGATGAAAATAATAAAATTGATGGAAACGAAAAATACTTATCCTATACAAAAGAAGATAATAGTACTGTACTGACAAGTATCAATGATAAAGTGGCACGGATAATTGAACAAAATAATTTAAAATATCCAACTGATATAAATATTCAACAAAGTCAAATATTAAGTAAAAATCAACCCGATGTACAAACTTCTGATTTTCCGTTTACAACCAATACACAAATTATAAACAGTGATCCCACAATAATAATTAACTCCCGTAGGACAGTCAGACGTAAAATGGTAATTGATGGTAAAGAAATTGAAGTTGAAGATATAATTGACGAACCTGCATCTGGTGAATCTGTTAAAAGTATTTTGAGAAAAATTACCAAGGATGGTAAAGAAGAACTTGAAAATATTAACGATCCTAATGAAATTGAATGTGTATTACGGTTGTCAAGAACCAACGATAATGTACAGAATACATGTGTAACAATTACAAAAACTCATAAAACCATTCTACGAAGTATTATTGTTGACGGAAAGGAGTCTGTTGTTGAAAAAGAAGACGATGAACCAGTCATTAATAAAATTCATGAAACATTAGTTAGAAAATCAATACAGGATGGTAATGAAATAGTTGTCGATGGACAAGTGACAGTTCCAGAAAAAGAGTACGATGAAACAGAAAACAAAAGAAATTCAAATGAGGGTGTTGAAAAAACCATTAATGACGCGGTCGATGATGAACCTATAGAAGATAGTTTTGAGATAATTCCAGCTCTAGGATTTGAAGAAAATGTTCAATCAATGTCATTCAACAGATATTTAAATAGCAACCAAACACAGGATGGTGATTCCCAAACAGCCGAAAAAGAACCTGTTGAAATTATGGATTTAAATAAATCAACAAAAGAAATTGACAACTCATCTTCATTCTTAAGTAAACTGCGCAGGGGATTGAAAATGTCAACATCCAAAAATAACAAAAAAATTAAAAATAAAAGTAATGATGAGGTCACTGAAAAAGAAGATGTAACAAAATCGTTGTTGAACGATTTTATCGAAAAGGAACGTGAAAGCACCGTCGTACAATTTTTATCAGAATCTGATGCTAATAGCAAAGCTGACGAAGTGCCCGGGTACGAAGCAAGTTCGAAAACTACAATAATAGTAGACAAATCAAAGGCCGACAAGCCGGATGTGTCCGAAATGTTAAAACCGTTCACGACTGAATATCAGATCAACCAAACGGGCACGTTCAACACGTGGAAATCACGAAGGGTTGTTCGACGCATTATTATCATCGACGGACAAGAGATCGAGGTGGAAGATACAATTGATGAGCCTGAGCCTGGTGCACCAGTTAAAAGTATATTGAGAAGAACGATCAAGAACGGCGTGGAAGTAGTTGAGAATATTATCGATCCGGAGGAAATAGAGAAGATCTTACGATTGTCTGTACTCAACGATGTCGTAAAAAATACTAGTGAAAGTGTAACAACTACAAGAACGCGTAGAATCATTAGGCGCAAAATTATTGTCGACGGAAAAGAGTCCGTAGTAGAAGAGGAGATTGACGAACCTGGTACTGGTGAAATAACGGATAGGGTCATCCTTAAATCGTTCGGTGATGGACTAGAGGAAGTAGGTCAGTTAGAAAATCTTGATAAAGTTCAAAGGTTGTTTTCTGTCCAAAAATCTGACAGTGACGAAATAACTGACCATAATTTGATAACAAAAACAATAACTAGGCGAGTAATAAGGCGTACAATTGTAAAGGATGGTAAAGAAAAAATTGTAGAGGAGGTAGTTGACGAACCGGAGAACTATGGTTTCACTGAGTCATTGCAGAGAGATATTAAAAAAGACAAGAAAGAGAGTTACGACATTACGACATACCCCCAAGATAACAGTATAAACAGGAACTCTGAATTTATAAACGAAACTCACACTGATAACATAATAACAACAATAAGAACACGAAGAATAATACGACGGGTAATTTTTGTCGACGGCAAAGAAACAGTTGTAGAGGAGGAAATTGGTGAACCTGGGGCAAGTGATAATACGGTTGTGGTTCAGACACAAAAAGATAGCACTAATACAGTTGAAATAAGTGATATACCGTTAGAAATAGAGAACATAGAGCATGATGATAAAACCCAAACAGTAACGACCCGTACGATGAAAAAGATACGAAAAATTATTAAGCACATAAAAACAGAAGATGGAAAAGAAAAAGTGGTAGAGGAAATTGTAGATGAACCAGTCGACGATGATACATTAAACGAAGTACAAAAATTGAAAGACTCAACTGAAATCCAGCATACCACAGTGTTAACTTCAGATATCGGTGGTAAAAACGATATTAAAAGAACAGATTCACGGGTTAAAGATATCAAAATTAAAAAAGAAAAAGCACCAAAAAAATCAGAAAATGTTGGCATTGAAGTAAAAGAAAATATAAAGGTTGACCTTCCATTAATCTCCAAACAAACAATCGGTATAAAAACATCATCGAAAACTAAATTAGAAGGTGGCAAAAACCTCAAAGACACAGATTTATCATCCACCACAGTCCCAGTAGTGAAAGCGCCCAAACCCGATGATAAAAAACCAACTGCAGGAATCAAAACACCAGAAGTGTCTAAGATTGGTATTTCAGCGGACATAAAAACTCCTGATATAAAGATTAAGAAAGGAAAAGCACCAAAGGGATCGGCCGATATTGAATTCGACATAAAGGAAAACGTTTCCGTTGGTATTCCATCGGTTTCTGTTCCGAGTGTTGAAATCAAAACT